AAAGTCCTGGATGAATGCCTTCTTTCCCCTCTCCATCTCTGTCGCTCTCAAGTGTGCCTAAACCAGCTCCCAGAGTAGGACTGCTGTCCTACTCATCTTTCAGATGAGACATGAAATTGAAGCCCTGAGTACAGAAAAACAACATATTTCACAAGATAGGAGGGATGTAAGTCCCCCTCTTCTGGCCATCTTCCAGCCTGGGTAATTACATTTCTACCTACCTAAAATTCCCTTTGCTCTATGGTTTTAATTGGACAGTAGTTTCTTTTCTGCTTGTCTAAAACCTCAGGCTGGGGTCAAATCCCACTGACTAATTCAGCAGACTGACTTTCAGTAAAGCTGCACAGGCATTTAAAACAAAAATCCAAATTTGTTTTCAAACTTAGGGAAAACATTCCAAACGGCCTGAGCTGACAGAGTCCGAAGCAAAGAATCCTTCCTCTGGCTCTCAGGCCGTAACAACAAGGATCCTTGTGTCCTAATACTTAGCCTGATTGTCTTGCTGAGGATCAGCATCCTCCCAGCTCTGCTTTACAGTAGCAAAGGGAGTGCTAAAGCAGAATTTCCACCACAAGAAAAACCATTCATGTGGTGACACTTAGGAATGCAGCACCTATTCATTTAAGCATCTTAGTTTGTGTCTACAGCTAACATTTCGGAAGGTAGTTTATGGGATTTGCACATTCAGATCTCTTATATTCAAGGGCTCAGTCACTGGAACTTTAATGTAACAAACCTTTTTTCAATATTTTTTGCCCAGAGTTTTTGACTGGCTCTATTTGAGCTAACCAAGATACAAAGGTCCACCTGTATGAGAGAGACACCCTTGTGTTAAAAGTGCTTAAGTGTATGCTTACCTCCAATATGTCAGTCACTAAGCTTAAAGTGAAACATTACCTAAAGACTTTTACAAATTAGGCCCAGATCCATCAGTTTTGCAAGAAAAAGATGTCTAACCATCTGTGGGGATTGGTAACCTACTGAGTTAGAGGAGACTTATAGGGCTATCAGGAAAAGGAAATTCAGGCATATATTCTACAAGGCAACACCTTCACAAAACTTTTCCTATAAATATTGTTCTAGGGAGAAACAACTTTCCCTGATGCTGTGCAGTAATATTTGGCCTCCTGAAAAGTTTTTGCTTAATTTGTGTATGCACTCCATTTGGAAGATCATGTCTAATGGGAAACAGTTCCAACAGCCAGGCAAAGGATTTTTTTCTCCTTTGCCTTTAAATGAAATATCAATGGATGGATATTTTATTTTTAGCTGAATATGAAATTTCACAAGCGACCTGTCAAGCTCCTGTTTTCAAGAATGACTTTATTTCACACGTCAAGACAGGCTGGGAAATTAGTTTTTCCCACAGAGGACTCTGATTAGGGATTACAAAGTGAGTGTGGCGCAGAGTGATTTTTCCTCCATCTTTTCACTCGCACCGCCAGCCTAGAGAGTATCAGACTCTGCTGACTAAGGGGAGCAATTCATTACCATGTGAGGGAGGGGGACTGGAAGCAAGATAGTCATATTAAGTAGACTTGCTGGCCCAAGAGAGAATAGGAAAAGCATAATAATACTTAGACCTCCATTATTCTTTTCATCAGTAGATATCAAAGTACTTGAAAAAGGAGGTTGATTTGATGGAAAAGGAGATAAATGCCAATTCCAAGCAGCCCATTGCAGAGGCACCAGCAGGAATGCTCACTTTCATGATGGTCTCTTCTGACTATGGGTCTGCAGGGTAGTGAAATAAACAGGTCTTTTCCTCACTGTAATGCAGAAGTACATTTCAAACATTATTGACTTACCCACTGTAACTCTCTTGGGGTTTGGCAAAATATAAGGTCCAGTCCAACAACCAGAGAGAGCAAGAAGGAGATTATGTATTACTAATAAATGACTGAGCAGACAGGACCTATTGCCTTTGTCAGCAGACAACAGATGATTTACACCACAGTTTAGCTGCTTGCGGAAGCAATAAATAGTCCAGATGAAGGGCTCTAGGGTTTTTACCCTATGGAAAATCTGGCCCATTCTGGGGCATTTCTGTTGTTATTCAGTGGAGTAGTAGTCACTGGAGTAAGAGGTAGCCTTGTTCTGCTGTAGATGAACAGCAGTGTTTGGCTCCACGGCTAAAAGTCCTGCACTGGCAGATCTGATAGCATTTACTGCCTGATCTCCTTTGGGCCACATGAAAGAGCTGCACATGAGGAACCACACACAGAAAGCATCAATCCCAAGGTCGATCTTCATATTCAAGAACATTGCAGCATTTCTACTGGCTACACATCTCTAACCACTCGCACTCTTAAAAAAACCTTCTTTTTCTCTTCTTTCTTTGTAGAGTGTGCTCTAGCTTGTATTTATTTGCCAATGGCCTTTCTGCTCTGTGTATGTGATAGAGATGTTCAAAGGGGCCTGAAGTCCTGCTGCAACAGGCAACCCAGAAAAACGTCTCATAAGAGGCAATACGAGATCCCATTGGGTCAAACAGCTGCTGTGCAGTCACTATGACTCATGTCAGGAGGGAAGAACACTCCAGGGGCAAGCACTTCACGTGGAGGTTACCCATGTTTTCATGATGCCATCTACAATAATAGCTTGGTTTTCAACAGTGTGAAGCATCAGCAAATGCCTGAGGCAGTTCTTGCCCTAAGCCTTCCAGGGCAAATAGAGTTAGAAATAAAAGAGGAAGGAAGAAGACACCAACTTTTATTTACACTTCTCTGTCCTTCTAACAAGAGCAGGTCATATCTTCTAAACCTCTTTGCAGAGCTGAATACTCATGTGCCTGTTTCAGTTTCAAAATCCTCCATCCTGCGTTGTGCCCACAGTGCTGCAGCCTCTGCTCTGCAAATCACAACAGCACCTCTGAACAGCCCAATCTGCTGTGGACCAGTGCCTCCCTCCAATACAGCTGCAAATAGGTTTAAATCATTAGATTCAAGTTACCAAACAGTCTCTTGGATCAGGGTTAATTAAATGAGTGTTGAAATCTAATTAAGAACTAGTCCAGGTGATAATTAGCAGGAAATGTATGCATTAAAATATTCATTTGTCGATGAGCTGCAATTAAGAGTGTGATTTGGGGAAGGATCAATAACTCCATCATGTGATGTAAAAAAAAAATGAAAAGTCATCTAGCCTTCAACAGAAATGCAGGGGAATTTTGGCTAGATTTTTTTCCTCTCCCCCTTCCACTCCCCCTTCTGTTTTGGTTTTTTAATAACTTCTGAAGATTGCTCTCCATCCTTGAATGGAGCATTCATCTCTCCGTCCCTTTGTTTTCCTGAAGCACTTTTTTCAAAACCTTGCTCTTCACCACATTGTGTTAGCAGGTTATAGATTTATTAGAGAGAGACTAACGGGTCAAAAAAAAAGATTCCTTACCAATGAAAATCACTTTCTCCCAGAACAGACTGCTAATCCGGGGGAACATCGCTCATTGTGTGGCCTTAGATTGTTGGGGTCTTTTTTTAGCAAGTTAATTCCTCAAGTCTTTATTCATAACCGAGGATCTGGAGAGGCTATTGAATATGTATAGCTCAGACTTATATATATGTACATGCATATCTGTGGTTTACTACATTCTTCCCAGTTTGTAGCAGAGCAACTCTGCTTTCACAGAGACTATTTTTTGTGCTTGCAGTTACATAGAAGTGCGTGCAAGCCAGTTAATAATATTGTTCCTGTACAGCCTGAGAAAATCCACCTCTGTTAGAAAAAAGAGGGTCCTGAGATATCTCAGCTCCTCTGGCATGGAGCTGGTCTTCCTCTAGTGCCACAGCCGGAGGCTGAGCTGGTAATTTCCGACTGACTATATTTCCAACAATGAATACCAGTTTGTCAAAAGGGAAGTATACCATGGGAGCACAATGATTTCAGCTGCCTTTTGTCAGCCTCCTGACAGCTCACCTGTTCTCCCCAGGCTTGATGGCAGCCCAGGTACAGAGGCAACTGTCCCCTGCTGCCAGGGCAGTGGCCAGATTCTCCCCTCTCTGCATCTCCTCCATCCTCAGGGAGAACACCCTGTGGGGAGTCAACCAACCCATGAAGTTGGGACTTCCTTGGAGCAAGACAAAAAAATACCAGTGCCTTCCTTCCTAAGTAGATCTGTTTCTTCCCATCTCTGTCTCCTATTAGAAATGTAAGGATTGCAGCTACTGACCTTTCATCTCATTCTGGGAAGGAGAGGGATTTCTTTCATCCCCAAAAGCACTATGTTTTTCACAGTTTTCTGCAGGCAATTCTGATGGTCATCTGTAGTTCTGCACTGGTGTTGACTGTAGACAAAATCCTAATATCATAAAGCTTTCCTGGAGATGTGTAACTTTAAATGTGGGGGTTTGTGTAGTAGTCACTATTTTCTAAGAGGAAACTCAGGTCCATCAGGTACTATTTTTCCTCCCCTAATTTAACAGTGCAGAACAGATGTTGTTTCATGATGATACATACACTCTGCCCATGATACTGACTCTCACCTCCAAGGCTGGGCAGAGATTTCTCACTATGGGTTACAAGAGAGCAGCATGAAAGCATGATCCAGTTCAGGGGTCTAGAATGCAGAAACCTCGCACATTCCACCAAAACAAATTGGTCCACAAATCCTACCTCATTCATTCAGCAAAGCCTCTTACATTTTGCTGCACTGAGTTCAGATCTTTGTCCTCTGATGAGGACAACCTAATGGGCCTGAAGGTTGAAAGAATAAGGCAAAAACTTTTACAGAGGGAACATGAACGACAGGCTAGGACTTTGAATTTAAGAGGAAATTAGGAAACAGGCTGCTGGCATTCACCCTCCTGGGTCCTTTACTTCCTTCCTGATGCTCTCAGCCCCTTGCAAGGGTCAAATTCAAAAACCTGATTTTTTTTTGCATGGAAAAAGTCAGCTCCAGCGGAATTTTGTTGTACCAAGTCTGTGTTACACGTATGGGTTGGTGAGCAAGTGTGTATCTAGCTCATTTCCTCTTGTGTGTCCTTTTGTTTCCTGTCCTGCAGGGAGCCTCTTCAAGCCTGGTGGTGAAGTTTGCGGACACGGACAAGGAGCGTACAATGAGGCGCATGCAGCAAATGGCAGGACAAATGGGCATGTTCAACCCCATGGCCATCCAGTTTGGGGCTTATGGCGCCTATGCACAGGCAGTAAGTATAGACCCTGACTCTACACATGTTCATGGAATTGGGAATATTATCCAGGGCAGACAAGGGAATCTCCCAGGCAAATCTCAGAGGTGCAGTAGCCAGTTCTAGCAGTAGCCAATTCTAGCAGTAACCACACCATGATCATGTGTGGACCCATGCAAAACACTTCCTATGGGGTATAAGCCATTGCTATAAAATAAAAGCACAACTAGCCTTTGAGCATTTGGATAAAATAAGCCTGAATTCAGTTTATCCTAGTTCTCTGCCTCATGTCATCATGTGGCTTCTGGGTACCTTGGGGTGACCACAGGATGAAATGGCAGTTGTTGACAGAAATGTTTTTAGGTTCATGAAAGCATGCTAGATAATAACAAAATGGACAAGCAGATATGCACATATACAGTGTTGGCTTCCCAAAACAGTATGATCTAAGTGCACTGGGAAAAAGTCCTGTTGAAGTTGCTTCAGGTACTTTATGTACATACCAAACCTGGACACTGGGCCGCTGAGAAGATGTGATTGTACAGGGAGCTGGGCTTTTGATGATGCTCTGAAATTGATGTCTCTGGCATTAGTACTATTTCTTAGGCTACAGTTAACAAGGACCTGCAAGACAAGGTTGGGTTCAGGTAACTTGGACTCTCTGTCACGTATTTCAGAGGCAGGTAGAGGTGATGCCTGCAGGAGGCAGACACAATAGACACAATACTGCCCAGTGATTTTGTTGCCTCCTCTAGAGCACATTTGCAGGCAGTGTATCTGAGTGCTTCATTTGTTTGGTGGCAAAATGTGGTCCCCTTGTACTCTGCAAGATTTGTGTACAGGAGGGAAGTACCATTTTCCAGAGTAACATATTCCTGAACAAGAGACCAAATGCCTTGCCTGAGGTGTACAGGGCCAGCTCAGGAATCACACTCTGCTGTACCCATACTTCCTTCAGTGCACTGACCACCAGGCTTTGCTTTCTTCCCTGACTGTTTCTTTCTCATTTGTTGGTACCATGTATTTCCCATCACATGCCCATGTTTGTTTGTTAACTTGAAGATCTGAAAATTTCTGTCCTTCTCTGGGGGTCCTGAGCCTCACTGAACCCTTGGTACAACCCCGTCTACCCCTTGTGTGAGCCATGCAGAGGTGTGAGGATGTGCTGTAGAGCTCCACAGAAGTTCCCCCTCTCCTCCCAGCTTCACCTCTTGATGCAGTTCTGGACTTTTTATTTCACTCTTGTCTAGAAAAATGTTTACTTCTTTTTTTTTGTCTCCATTTTTACTCCCAGACGAAGTCAATCTCTGTCTCTTCCTTTGTCCCCTTCTCCCTTCCTCATATGATAGAAGAACTGTTCCCTCCCCAGTCTGCCTGTGTTTAACTGTCCTCCTGGCCAGGGAAGGCTGCAGGAATTGGAAAAGAGACAGTAAATCCCATCTGAGCCCAGGTCAGTGGTCAGCAGCCTGGCAGAGGGATGCAGGATTTTTGCCCCTTCATATCAGAGAGATTAACAGGAGGCAACCCACGAGTATCTTGGGATGAACATTTGCAGAGGTTGTCAGGCAGGAGATGTGGCTTCAGTGTTACTCTACAGGCATTGGTCAGGCAGCTGGAGAGATGGTAAAGACGCCACTGTCCTGATGCTCTGGTCCAAAAACTCTTCTTGCATTATTTTTAATCTAGAGTAACTCTTCTAATTTCCAACCTAGGTTAATCCTGATATGAGAGAATGCAAGTCTGTTCCCTGACATGACAAAAGTTTCCTCCATTTCTCACCAGATAATACAGGTATTTTATGATGGTAGGCGAGGATTTATGGCTGAAGGAAGAGTGAAAACAATTCCTGGTCTGCTCTCACCCATTGAAACAAATTAATATTTTTCATATTGATTTCTGTGAAAGCAGAATTGGACCCATTATCTTTTTTTTTCCCCTGATAAATATGCTAACAATGGGGAAAGAATAAGTTTTAGATCTTGACCCATTGGATATGACAAGCTGGTGACACCAATTACCCTGGGGACTTCAGAGCTGTCTAAATGATGGGATCACATTCCTGTTTGGCGCCTGTACACCCAGAGTGTGCTCAGATGCTGTCTCTCAATCAGCCTCCCTATCTGTTTCATCTCACAGTCTCACATAAAAGGGAAGGAAGGGAGCTTCGAGGCTCTGTGGCATTCCCTCGGTCCTGATTAATCCACCTCAGACTGCTGGCTCTTATATATCAAGGTGATTGGCACCTCACAAATGCCAGCAGGAGATGGAGGGATCGATAAGGAAAAGGAAAAGGGAGAGAGCAGTTTTATTCGGCCCAGAATGGAGTCAAAGAGCTAATGCAAGTCAAGAGGAGGGAAGGTGAAACATCAGGATCAGGACTGTCATGATGGGTGATGCCACGGCCACCAGCGACTCTTGTGATACTCAGTGAATTACTTGACTCCCTGACCTTGTTTCCACATGTACAAGTAAAGCTGATGATCAGATTTATTTATTTCCTCTTCTCCCTCAGGGACACGGCTCTCTCTTGCGCAGTCCCTCCGAGTTTTCACACAGTGGTAGGGCAGTAACACAAGTGCAAGAAGTGCCTCAGTGCTTGGTAGTAAGGTCAGAACAAGCAGGAGACATTAGGCTCTCTAATTCATACTTGTAGTCTGTACTCTAAGCTATGCCCCTACAGTCCACACCTGACTCATGTCTCCATGTAAGACTTCTCAAGCAATCCCATGACAGCAGTTTATCAATAGTTTCTAATGGTCTGCCCCCAGAGAGGAAGCTGTTCAAGTCCCATATGCTGCAGTTTCTTGCTGTATTTGCCCCAGAGAAGCATCTTGCACATCACTGTGACTGGATTAGCTCCTGCAAAAAGGTCTCAATCCATCAAGGTGGCCGGTGCATCAGAAACACACATGATAGATTGATGGGCACCTGTAGGTTTGCAAACCCTCTGAGGAGAAGCAACGAGGATCTCAATCCATCAGTGTTTGTCTTCAATGTTGCCATCAGGACTGATTTGGGCCCCAGCTCCTCCCTAAGTTACCTGCCTTACAGCTCAGCAACTGGCCATGTCACAGTTCACTCCCTACTGCTGTTGCACGCTGTCAACCCACTTAGCCTCAGCTTAAACAACTTTAACCTTGATAGCAGTGGCAGCCTCACATCAGCCAAGCAACCAGTCCTCGGTTTCAGCAGCCATATGGCCTCAGACCCAGAGGTAAAAAATATGAGGAAGCAAAGGGACTTCTCCACTGTGTGCGGTTTTCCATCCTGTCCTCATGTGCCACCTGCAAGCAGACCAGACAAAGCTTGGCACCAACCCTGTGCACTGTTTCAGTGACACAGAAAGCCACACCAGACTCACTTCAACTCTTTTGTATGCAGCTCAAGGCAAGTCAAATTTCATGGCTTCCTAAAGCTCCCAGAGGCCCTACACTAATTTGTTTCAGAGTCTGGTGGTTTGTTCTTTTTGTTTGGTTGGTTTGGTTTGGTGGGGTTTTTTGGAATTGTTTTTTTGGGGGTTTTTTGTTTGTTTGTTTGTTTTAGGTTTTTTCTTTTTAGCAATATCTTCCCATACTCATTTAACTTCTCCTTTTATGGGGCAATTATTTTTTTTATTTCACACATGTACAGAGCATCAGCTCTTTTTGGTGTCGGGTTACTGTGAATATACACCAGCTGGGTGTTGATAGCTGTTTCTGCAGTCTAAGTTAAGCCCAGATTGAGTTATAGATTTGAACTCAGTCTGGAGAGGAGAGTGATGCTAGCTGGCACCACCTTGATTTGCTGCCAGACAAGAATGAACCTGCAGGGACACACTCCACCTCAGAGGAGCGCAGCACACCTTCTTAGATCTTGGTAAAAGGTGGGATGGCCAAGCCCAAAATCACAAGCAGTGAAAATCAAAACAGACTGTGAATAGTGGTAGTACAATCCTGGCCCAAACAAACAATGGTGGCAAAAGTTCCTGTAGGTCTTTCTGTGCAGAAAGTGGCAAGGAATAGTTAGGAGCTGTCTCGTGTCAGTGACACCCCACCACACAGAAAGGAAATGTTCACAGATCAAAAAAGGGTTAGGGAGATGGGAAAATGCAGAAGAGCAAAGCAAGAACAAAGGAAAGAGCCTTGGAAAGTGACAGATACATTATAAATTATTTAATTTTTAAATTATTTAAGATAAGATCAAAGTCGTAAATCAAGTTTGCATAAAAAATGGGGTGGGAGTGTTAGCCATGGTCTTCTGGCCAAACTCCAGCCTTGGGACTGATTGCACCCTGCGGCAGGGATAGGCATAGAGTTTGTGAGTAAAAACAGACAGATTGGGACAGAGACAACATAGGCAATACTAGCATTTACTCTCTGGCCTGGAGCAAGTCCTTTCCCATCGGTAAATCCCGGCTCCCCTCACTCTGAAAAAGTACAAATGGCTGCTGCTCCCAAACTCCAGACAAAAACTGCAACAAATCTGGGAATGTCCAGCACAGCAGAGCTATCATCACAGCTGGTCTTCTTGGGAAGTTAGGGCAGCAATGACTACCATACTGACCACAAAAGCCTAGGTGTCCCCTTCTACCTCGCTGTCCAGCTCCTGTGGAGATGAAGGGATATTTCTGCTAAATAATCTGAGGTAGTGCTGATGGGAAGGATCTCTTCTTCCTAAATTTATTCAGTTTGTGCTGTGAAATTATTTCGGAAAGATACTTTAAAAAAAAATCAGCTACCCCCATGAAATTGGGGGAAAATTACTGACTATAGGCTATCTTCTGGATATAATAGTTATTACATTTAAATAGACAAAATGAGATGGTATATCTGGTAAATACTACCTGGTACGCAAATCACTTGCTCTGATCTGTTCCAGGAGAGGAAGCTATTTTGAGGCCATAATACTCTGTAGCAGTGCTAATACCATGTTTCTGACCACCAGCTCCCTGGTAATTCAGAAATAATGAACACTCACATTTGGGCTCTCTGTACAATCTTTTTTAGGCTTTGGGGTTTTTCCACAGTTCACAGGAAATC